ACATAGCCGATGTATTTACTTTGATGGTTCATCACACAAATAAAAATAAAACAAAGACGTGAACAGCACCAGCAGTTGCTACCGCTTGAACCTTTGGGGAGAAACCCTGGCTGGAGGAAAAGTCACAATTCCATTAATTAGGAAGACATGGAATTCCCACCCCTCCTTGCCATTGGGAATTTACTGTCAGGTGGGATTTTAATGCACATTGGCCGACCAGCCCCTGGTCCAGCCTTCTTCGGGCTCTGCCTCCCCCAGCCTCCTGTCCTCAGCCCTGCTGTGTGGACCCAAGGGGAATAATGGCCCTTGTTCCATGACTGTAGCAAAGCAATAGCTAATCTGGTGCTCACTGGGTGCCAGGCACTGTGTTAGACCCTTGATGGGAAGAACCCCCTGAGCGCTCACCGCATCCCTGCGAGGCTGCTATGCGCTTTACATCAGACGGGAAAATGAAGACTCAGAGATTTCAGGTGTTGTGCCCACACCCCATGTCCAGCGGGGGCAGATCCGGGACGTGAAGTCAGCTCTAATTACAAAGCCTGCGCCTCAAATCCCTATTTTGGGCTGCATCGAACGGTCCTGGGTACTGCCAGCCCCAGGGGATGCTGGGTCAGCAAGAGTCACCGCCATCTTGTATGGAACCGCAGAAAGAAGTTCAATGTCAGGGCCTTCCTTCTCCTCATTCTGCACTTCCTGCACCAGTCTGCGGATCTGGCCATGGCTCCATCCCTCTCCCGGGAGGGATGGACCCAAAGCTGCAGCCTCTTCAAGCCCATCACTGGCCATATCTGGGAAGGGCATCCTTGAAATTTGAACCTTCTGACCCCACGGCAAGTTCCCCAGTCCGGGCCTTGGTGGCAAGCAGGCGTCTCCACGGCAAAGCGCACTGTAAGGGGCTGCAGACCCCCACGTCCTGCTCTTGGCATGACCTCTTCCCAGCCACATGGCCTCAGGCATTCGCTAATCTGCCTGGGCCTCAGTTTGCCCATCTATAATGAGGTAGCATACAGTTGGCTCCGGGGTTTCCAGTTTCGGGCGAGGACAGACTGGAGAAAGCACAATGAAAGAGCAGCTGTTGCAGGAGAGGCCTGGGTCTTGGCACGCCTCCGTCCTCACGGGGAGCAGTGGGAACACCACTGACCTGGCTCATCCCTGAGGCCCCATCCAGCTCCGACATTCTGTGTGATTCTTGGATCTCAACACATGCCCCCCAGAAAAGTTTTTCTTCCCAAATGCGTTAATTGAGACCCTGGGGATCCAAGTGACAAAAACTCAATTCAAACCAAGTTAAGCAAAAGGGAGGGATATACGGGCAGAGTCCCTAGAATTCCAGGGTGGTTTTTTTTCAAACTTGGCACTCCCTTGCTTAAAGCCCCCTTGAATGGCTTTTCGCAGACTCCTGGAAAATGTGAATGCGTTCCTTTTTTTTTAAGATTTTATTTATTTATTTGACAGACAGCAAGAGAGGGAACACAAGCAGGGGGAGTGGGAGAGGGAGAAGCAGGCCTCCCACAGAGCAGGGGCTCGATCCTAGGACACAGACTCAGAAGGCAGACACTTAATGACTGAGCCACCAAGGCGCCCCGAGAATGCATTCCTTTAGCCTCTCAGTCTGTGCCTGACTTGGCTCCTGGTTCTCACTCCCTCATCCTGAACCTTCCTCTCGTCCGGGCCTTTGCACATGCTGTGCCCTCCACCTGGGATGTTTTTCCCCAAGCTCTTTCCTATTGGTATCTGGCTCACTCTCCCCTTCAGGCTTCAGTTCATTTGTCACCTCTTCAGAGAGGCCTTTTCCTTTCCCCTCCAACTTAGGTAGCGCCCATGGCTCCCTTTCACCTCACACGGCCCTGTCTCGGGGTCATCGTCCGCAGGGAGATCACCCGCACGCTCATGTGCTTGCTTGTCCATCTCCCCGTTAGACTGTCCGCTGCGTAAGGCACTCTGAATTGTTTCAGGGGGCATCCCTGACATCCAACACTCTACTCGCCGGGCACAAGTGCTTCACAAATATTTGTGGAATGAATGAATAAATGGTTGACAGTAACTCTTCAGGCTTTAGCAAGTCCAGATTCCTCTGCCTCAAATTCAGCATGTCCCGGCAAACCAGACCCTCTTGTTTTTCTCAGCGGGAAGCC